TGTTATTGGGTGTCTTGTTACATCCAACTACTTTACTTACTAAAAGCAAGTACAAATTCAGTTTGGTCTCTGCCTGTTTCTTAATTTATCACATCACATTTCCTCAATAGAGTAAAAATATATTACTTTAAACAACTTTCTATGGATTTTTTTTTATTGTATGTTGCGTCCCATAACCTCTAGATGCCAAGTATATATGTGGACGTAACAATAGAGTAAATTAAAATAATAATTTTAAAAATCTGAATAATTAAAACAGTTAAGAATAAAAAATAAAATAAAATAAAATACAGTACAAACAGTCAGACGAACAGTGGCACAGTGCTCATTCAGTAAATGCACAGCTAAACAGAAGTGTTTTGAGTCTGGATTTGAATGTGACTGTAGGAGCACATCTGATCTCCTCTGGAAGCTGTTCCAGCATAATAGCTAAAGCAGACTCTCCATGCTTAGAGTGAACCCTTGGTATTTCTAGCTGATGTGATCCTAATGATCTGAGTGATCTGTTAGGTTTATATTCAGTGAGCATATCTGCGATATATTGAGGTCCTTGGCCATTTAGTGATTTATATACCAGTAATAATACTTTAAAATCAATCCTAAATGTAACTGGGAGCCAGTGTAAAGACCTGAGGACTGGTGTGATATGTTCAAATTTTCTGGTTCTGCTCAGAAGCCTGGCAGCAGCGTTCTGTATGAGCTGCAACTGTCTTATGGTGTTTTTGGGAAGGCCAGTGAGGAGTCCATTACAATAATCAACCCTGCTGGTGATGAAAGCATGCACACGTTTCTCTAAGTCTTGACTGGAAACAAAGCATCTAATTCTTGCAATATTTTTCAGATGATAGTATGCTGATTTAGTTATTGCTTTGACATGACTACTGAAACTAAGGTCTGACTCTAGAGACACACCAAGATTCCTGACTTGATTTTTAGTTGTTAGACCCCTAGAGTCAAGGTATGCATTCACCTTGAGAACTTCATCTTTGTTTCCAAACGCAATGACTTCAGTTTTGTCTTTGTTTAACTGAAGAAAGTTTTGGCACATCCAACTGTTTACTTCATCAATGCATTGCCACAGGGAGTCAATGGGGCTGTAGTCGTTAGGCGATAGGGCTAAGTAGAGCTGTGTGTCGTCTGCATAGCTGTGGAAAGAGATTCGGTTCTTTCTCATTATTTGGCTCATTGGGAGCATATACAGGTTGAACAGGAGTGGTGCAAAAATTGAGTCTTGAGGGACTCCGCATGTCATGGATGTCCACTCAGACTTATGGTCCCCTATACTCACATAATAACCTCTCCCTTCTAAGTTTCTAAGTATGATCTGAACCATTTTAGGACTATCCCAGAAAGCCCCACCCAGTTTTCCAGCCTGTCAAGAAGTATGTTGTGATCGACAGTGTCAAATGCAGCACTGAGGTCGAGTAGTACCAGTACTGATAATTTGCCTGAATCAGTATTTAAGCGAATATCGTTTATTATCTTTATGAGCGCTGTCTCTGTGCTGTGATGCGATCGGAAACCAGATTGAAAATTGTCAAAGTATCCATTCAAGTTTAAGAATTTGTTCACCTGATTGAAGACAACTTTTTCAATGATCTTGCTTATGAAAGGAAGATTTGAGATCGGTCTATAGTTGCTTAAGATGGTCTTATCCAGATTGCTCTTTTTCAGGAGGGGCTTGACAACTGCAGTTTTCAGGGAGTTTGGAAAACTCCCAGAGAGAAGTGAGGCATTGACCACTTCTAGGAGATCTGCTTCTAAGCTGTTTAACACACATTTTTGAAAAAAAGATGTGGGAAGTGCGTCAAGGGCGCAGGTTGATGTTTTAAGGTGCTGTACGGTTTCTTCCAAAATTGTGCCTTCAATTTCTTCGAAAACAGACATAGTAACTACTTTCTCTGGTTGTGGTCTGATCTGTCTGACCCCAGAGCAACTCAATGATGTGCTGATCACCTTTCTGACATTATTGATTTTCTCAGAGAAGAAAGAAGCAAACTCACTGCACTTGCTGTCTGAGAGCATTTCACTGGGAATCTGGCTTGGGGGGTTTGTCAGTCTTTCTACAGTAGCAAAAAGAGTGCGTGTGTTGTTTAAGTTGCTCTTTATAATATTCGAGAAGAAAGTCTGTCTAGATTTGCCTAGTTCCATATGAAAAGCATGGATACTGTCTTTGTAGATGTTATAATGGACTACAAGTTTTGTCTTCCGCCACATGCGCTCTGCTCTTCTGCATTGTCTTTTCATATTTTGCACAGCTGTTGAGTTTCTCCAAGGTGCTTTTTGTCTACCACTATTCTTCCTGACTTTCACAGGAGCAATATCATCATTTACACTTTTAACTTTTGAGTTAAAAGAATCGAGGAGAAAATCAACAGAGTCAGCAGATATGCTTGGTTTTAAAGATATAGCCTTAATAAATAGCACACTAGTGTTCTCATTTAAGCATCTCTTCTTGACAGACACAGATCTAGCTTCAATGGCAGGAGAGATCAATATATCAAAGATAATACAGAAATGATCAGACAGTGCTACATCCTTAATAACAATCGATGAGATGTTTAAACCCTTACTGATAAGTAAATCTAGAGTGTGTCCACGATTGTGTGTGGGACCATGTACATGCTGAGTCAGAATAAAAGTTTTTAAAACAGTTTTGATTTCTTTTGCCATATTGTTTTCTGCATTATCTCTGTGAATGTTAAAATCTCCAGCAATGGCAAAACAGTCAAACTCAGAGGAAATTGTTGATAGCAGTTCTGTAAAGTCCTCAGCAAAGGCTGGAGAGTATTTTGGAGGCCTGTAAATAATGATAAGTAAAATACGTGGAGCACCTTTTAACACAATACCCAGATATTCGAAAGACAGGTAATTCCCAAATGATATTTGCTTACATTCATAGACATCTTTAAAAAGAGCAGCTAAACCCCCGCCTCTCTTAGGAGGGGATGTTTCATTGAGGACTGTTCCACTGCAGCTGTCTTCTAACCAAGTTTCATTTAGAAACATAAAGTCCAGGTTGTATGTGGTTATTAAGTCATTGACTGGAAGTGATTTATTTTTAAGTGAGTGGATGTTTAAAAGTGCTAACTTAACAGTCTTACTTTTTGTCCCCACAGCAATCTTAGTTTGGCTCATAATAGGCACCAGATTAGACGGGTTTGCTGTACGGCTTTTGAAGGCCTTAGATTTTCTATCATGTAATTGAACAGCAATAGAGAAAGATTCAGGCACACGCTTGTTCTGTAAACATTTAAGAAAGTTACTGTTATCATAGCGGGGACCCGACACATATCACTGAGAGCTGGTATCAGTTGTTTTTGGTTCACCTCGAGCCGCTGGAGGAGGGTGTGAGCCCTGGCGCTGTGGTAGAGGCCGAAAAGCTCTCACAGGAGGAGGGGGAGGGGCTGGGCCCTTAGGCTTTGGTGGTTGTGGGGCCTACCATTTTTTGGTTGACATCTGGGGGCTTGCAGCAAAAGAGTGGGATAGTTTGGTTCCAGCATACACCAGTTTTTCCATTTTCTCTGAGAAGCACAGAAGTGGAGATAATGGAGAGAGGGATAACGTGTCTGGGGAGAGGGGCTGTTGCTCTGGTGTTATCGGAGGCTGTAATATGCTGTCCTGGTTTCCCTCACTGTTTTCCAGAAAGTTGTCATTGGGAGCTGAATCTTGGAGCAGTTCTAATATGTCCCGGTCTGTCTGTGGTGAGCTCTGTGGGCAGGGCTCTGCTGAGATTGTGTCCGTGAGCAGAAGTTGTTGTGGCTGCATGGTGTTATCATTGTCCTTGTGTGATATGTCAACCGCATGTCCATTCAGGTGCTGAAGTGAAGTCCTGTGATCATTCATACTGTGTCCAGGTGTGTGTGTGCCATTCAGCTTGAGTGGATTGGCACACACTGCAGAAGGATGATTGAGGGAGAAGTAGATATTGTCCTTTAGCACTCTTGAACCAAGTTTGTTTGGGTGGAGCCCATCCTGTTGAAACAGTTGCCTCTGACTCCAGAAAAGATTGAAGTTGTCAATGAAGTTCACTCCTTTTATATTGCAGGTTTTTTGCAGCCATGTGTTGAGCCCAAGCAACCGTGAAAACCTGTTTGTTCCTCTTGCTGGGAGTGGTCCACTGATGAATGTCTGAACTTTCAGTCTTTTAAGTGTTTCAAAAAGTTCATTGAAATCCTTCTTAAGGACTTCTGACTGCTCTTTATGAATATCATTTTCCCCACATGAATGATGAGTCGATTTGCAGTCTTATGTTTCATCAGAATGTTCTGAAGTTCCCTGTTTACATCAGAAGTTGTTGCTTGTGGAAGGCAGCATGTAGTTGTATCCCTGCTAGTAATGTTTCTGATTATGGAGTCACCCACTACCAGAGTCCTGTACTCGGCTGCGCTCTGAGCTGAGTGCCGCTGTCTGCTCGACCTTGAGTGCCAGTTAGCATTAGGCAGTTAGCATCCATCGCTTGGGTTCAAGAGAACAGAATTGTCACTTCCAGGGAAATTGGCTCAAAACATCAGTAATAAAATAAGTTTCTGCAATCTTTCTTTTTTCCCTCCATCATAAACTAGTGTGTCTCAGAGCATCAGACAAAACACAGTAAACACTGTCGTATTCTCTGGCGTTCGGATGCTGGTGTTCGGGAACACACTCGTGTGTGTGAGACGCTTCTGGAGGGCATTACACCATATCCTTCTGATCACACACACTTCGACTCCGGCGTTTCAGAAACACCAAAACAACATCTGAGATGCTGCGACGCCATTGGTCCGCTGGCTACTCCAGTTATCCAATCACAGCTGATGCTGTGCCAAAGTCACGTGAGTTTGAGGAATTTGTTCAGTAAATGTGTTTTCATCTTAGTTTATGTGCATGTCATCTTATCGGATAAAACAATTATCTGCTTTAATTGAGAGCAGACGTTTGTATGTGCATTTTCAGAAAGATGCACATCTTGGCGGGTTTTGTTTAATGCGATATCCCAAAATGCACATATAAGCAGTTGTCTGGAAACACAGCTAGTGACATGTAGGACATTCTGTCGCTGGTTTACAGTAGCGTAGTTGACCTGTGACACAGAGGCACAGCATGAGTTATTGTTGTGTGTTCAGTCGCACCTGCAGGGCTTCCAGCAGGTCGTATCCGCTGATGGGCGGCAGTGGAGGCGGGACACGGTCTCCTGAACACGCCAGCAGGAGAGCGGCCTGTTGCTCCGCATCGTCAGGTGACACCTGAGGAGGAGGCCCGGCAGGAAGTGATGCGCTCGGGGGAGGCCTGCCACACACACACAACGTTTACATCACGAGCTGCAGGTCAACAGTGCTGAGCAGTGTCGGGGGTAACTCATTACAAGTAACTCGAGATACGTAATCAGATTACTTTTTCAAGAAACTAGTAAACGCATTACCTTTTTAATTTAAAACAAAATATCTGAGTTACTTTCCCACATTTATTGACTGAAAGCTCTCTTGTTGAGAGAAATAAAGAGAAACGGTGTTGTGTGTAAACATGATGGTTATTTTAGTTCTACACTAAATGTGAAAATGCATTTACTCATCTCACTTGCACAAAAACATTCAGTATTCCTCAAAATGCAATCTCAGAATTTTACTCAAAACTTTTATAATCAGCTATATTAAGTTACACAAAAATACTTTATATATTTAATCTCACTTTATTAACCAATGTCTTTGCTGCTGACCTTCAATGATCTAATTCAACCATACGAATAAGCAAAAATAATAAGTGTTGAACTGTTGTTCTTTAATCCAGAACAGCAGAAGCTGAAAAGTTTGTTTGAGCAGTGCCCTCTACTGTACTCTAACTCTACTGTACTCTACTGTAGTCTACCTCTACTGTACTGTAGTCTACCTCTACTGTACTCTACTGTAGTCTACCTCTACTGTACTCTACTGTAGTCTACCTCTACTGTACTGTGGTCTACCTCTACTGTACTGTAGTCTACCTCTACTGTACTGTACTCTACCTCCTCACACTACTGTACTACACTCGTAGCTGCTGTTCATAATATTAATGCATTCCTCACTCACTCTACTGTACTCCTCCTCACCTCCTCACTCTACTGTACTCCACCACCTCACTCTACCTCCTTACTCTACTGTACTCCTCACTGTACTGTACTCTTCACTCTACTCCTCACTCAACTGTACTCCACCTCACTCTACTGTACTCCACCTCACTCTACTGTACTCCTCCTCACTATACTGTACTCCACCTCAGTCTACTGTACTCCACCTCACTCTACTGTACTCCACCTCACTCGACTGTACTCCACCTCACTCTACTCCTCCTCACTCTACTGTACTCCTCCTCACTGTACTGTACTCCACCACCTCACTCCACCTCACTCTACTGTACTCCTCCACCTCACTCTACCTCCTCACACTACTGTACTCCACCTAACTCCACTGTACTCCTCCACCTCACTCTACCTCCTCACACTACTGTACTCCACCTCACTCTACTGTACTCCACCACCTCACTCTACCTCCTTACTCTACTGTACTCCACCTCACTCACTCTACTGTACTCCTCCTCACCTCCTCACTCTACTGTACTCCACCACCTCACTCTACCTCCTCACTCTACTGTACTCCTCACTCTACTGTACTCCTCACTCTACTGTACTCCACCTCACTCACTCTACTGTACTCCACCTCACTCGACTGTACTCCTCACTCTACTGTACTCCTCCTCACCTCACTCACTCTACTGTACTCCACCTCACTCGACTGTACTCCACCTCACTCTACTCCTCCTCACTCTACTGTACTCCTCCTCACTCTATTGTACTCCACCACCTCACTCTACTGTACTCCACTTCCTCACTCTACCTCCTCACTCTACTGTACTCCTCACTCTACTGTACTCCACCTCACTCTACTCCTCCTCACTCTACTGTACTCCTCACTCTACTGTACTCTACCTCACTCACTCTACTGTACTCCACCTCACTCGACTGTACTCCACCTCACTCTACTCCTCCTCACTCTACTGTACTCCTCCTCACTCTATTGTACTCCACCACCTCACTCCACCTCACTCTACTGTACTCCACCACATCACTATACTTCAATTCAATTCAATTCAAATTTATTTGTATAGCGCTTTTCAATACATATTGTTTCAAAGCAGCTTTACAGAAAGTGCATTTCAGAAATGTACATAGAAAAATACAGTTAGTTAATCATCATGTATTAATTTAGGGCATAACATATCGCCGGCGTTGAGTCGTCTCTTCACAGGCGTCGAGTCGTCTCATCGCAGGTGTTGGGGCATCTGAAGTCTCCGTGAGAGGCTGGATACAAACTGGAGCTGACGAACGCTACTAGCGTCCCGAGATAACAGCAGAGAAGCAGATGGGAAATAATTAGCGTAGCTGCTGTTCATAATATTAATGCATTCGATCTGATTCAACAGTGGTATAAAAGGTAAGCATTATGTGAATGCTTGGCTGAAGAGATCCGTCTTTAATCTAGTTTTGAACTGGGAGAGCGAGTCTGAGCAACGAACAGTATCAGGAAGGCTATTCCAGAGTTTAGGAGCTAAATGTGAGAACGCCCTCCCTCCTTTAGTGGACTTAGATATCCTAGGAATGACCAGAAGCCTCGAATTTAGGGATCTTAAAGAACGCGATGGATTGTAGGGCGATAGAAGGTCCATTAAATACACAGGAGCTAAACCATTTAGGGCTTTATAGGTCAGTAGTAGTACTTTGTAATTGATACGGAACTTAATAGGTTACCAGTGCAGAGATGATAAAATCAGTGTTATATGATCATATTTTCTTGACCTAGTAAGAACTCTAGCGGCTGCATTTTGGACTAACTGTAGCTTGTTTATTGAAGATGCAGGACAACCAGCTAATAGAGCATTACAGTAATCTAGTCTCGAGGTAATCAGAAACACATAGCATGTTACGTAATTTAGCAATGTTTCTAAGGTGGAAAAAGGCAGTTCTTGTAACATATGAAATATGATTGCGGTCTAGAATAACACCCAGGTCTTTTACTGTAGTCGATAAGGTAGCAGGACATCCTTCTAAATTAAAGTTGTATTGTAAGAGATTTTGTGGGTAGTTTTTTGGACCAATAAGTAATACCTCAGTTTTATCTGGATTTAATAGCAGGAAATTATACGTCATCCAGCATTTGATGTCTTTAAGACATTCTGTCAAATTAAATAAGTTAGTGTTTTCATCTGGCCGTGATGAAATATATAATTGAGTGTCATCAGCATAACAGTGGAAATTAATTCCATGTTTTCTTATAATATTACCAAGTGGCAGCATATATATTGAGAATAGCAGAGGGCCTAACACCGATCCTTGCGGCACTCCATAGTCTACTGACGTTATCTTCGATTTTTCCCCATTTAAACAGACAAAATGGTAACGGTCCGATAAGTACGATCTGAACCAGCTTAATGCCTGTCCCTGAACACCAGTGTAGTTTTGTAGTCGATCCAAGAGTATTTTATGATCTATATGACGAACGCAGCGCTAAGATCGAGTAGAACTAGTATTGAGATACAGCCTTGGTCAGAAGCTAAAAGTAAATCATTTGTAATTTTAACTAGCGCAGTTTCTGTGCTATGATGTGGTCTGAATCCTGACTGAAATTTTTCATATATCTCATTTTCTTGCAGGAAAGAGCACAATTGAGCGGACACAGTTTTTTCTAGTATTTTAGACATAAATGGAAGATTTGAAATGGGTCTGTAATTTGCTAAGTTATTTGGATCTAATTGCGGTTTCTTAATGAGAGGTTTTATTACTGCCAGCTTGAATATTTTTGGAACATGACCTAAAAATAAAGACGAGTTAATAATATTGAGAAGAGGCTCTTCCACTACAGGTAACACTTCTTTCAGTAGTTTAGTGGGTATTGGATCTAATAAACATGTTGTTGGTTTAGATGCAATGATAAGTTTATTTAGCTCTTCCTGTCCTGTAGTTGTAAAGCGGTGTAGTTGTTCCAGAGGGGCCATAGTTGAGGCTAAATCATAAGACACCATAGAGGATTGTACATTTACAATTGTGTTTCTGATGCTTTCTATTTTCTCATTGAAGTAATTCATAAAATCATTACAACTATACTGTAACAGAATATTTTGCTCTGGTGATGTCTGTTTATTTGTTAGTCTAGCCACGGTGTTAAATAAAAACCTTGGATTATTTTGGTTATTTTCTATTAGTTTGCGGAGATGCTCAGCCCTGGCTGCTTTTAGAGCCTTTTTATAACGTGACATACTGTCTTTCCACGCGATTCTAAAGACCTCTAAATTAGTTTGTTTCCATTTACGCTCTAGGTTACGAGTTTCTCTCTTGATAACATGTGTAGTACTATTGTACCATGGTGCTTTAGTTTTCTCTCTAACCTTTTTTAATCTAATTGGTGCAACAATATCTAATGTACTAGAGAAAATGGTGCTCAAACTGCTGGTCATTTCCTCTAGTTCATCTGTTTGTTTGGGTTCACTGAGCAGCTGAGATAGATCAGGTAAGCTATTTGAGAATCTATCTATAGTGGTCGGAAGGATTGTTCTGCCTGGTCGATAACGCGGCGCAACATGACAAATTTCAGCAGTATGTATTATGCACGTTACCATGCAATGATCAGTGAGATTGTCACTTTGCGGTATAATATCTATATCGGTTGGATTGGTTCCGCATGATATAATTAAATCTAGTGTATGATTTAGACGATGAGTGGGACCACTGACGTTTTGCTTGACCCCGAAGGAGTTTAATAAATCTGTAAACGCAGTCCCTAATGCATCATTTGTGTTATCTACGTGTATGTTAAAATCTCCAACAATTATTGCTTTATCGACATTGACCAATAGATCTGAGAGAAAGTCTGCAAACTCTTTTAGGAATTCAGCATATGGTCCTGGAGGTCTATATACAGTAGCCAAGGCTAGAGATAATAGGGATTTCTTTCTTACATCTAAGAGCGTAACGTGTAGCACAAGTACTTCAAACGAATTAAACCTGTGACCTGTTTTCTGAGTAACATTAAGAATATCTCTATAGATTGTTGCAACACCGCCGCCACGACCGATCAGACGGGGCTCATGCTTATAACAGTATCCTGGCGGAGTAGACTCATTTAGACCGAAATACTCATTTGGTTTAAGCCAGGTTTCAGTAAGGCAAAGTACATAGAAGCTATTATCTGTGACCATTTCATTTACAATAACCGCCTTAGGTGTGAGCGATCTAATGTTTAGAAGACCTAGTTTTAGAAATT